AAGCGATAGATACTAGGGGGTGGAGGTGGGAAGGGGCCTGTGATGTTTGTTTTCATGGCTCCCCAAACCTTGCTGGGTCCCCTTCAGACTCCTTGGTGACCGAATGGATTTGTGTACTCAAGATCTAGTCCCTGTGGGCTTTCCTTAGCCCCTTTGTCCCCTTATAAGAAGGAAACTCAACTGAGAGAGCAAGACCAGTCAAGTGTCTTTGAACAGTGGGGTTCGCCGACCCCAGGTTCTGCAGGCTCGTCCCAGGTTTTGAGTTCCAGTTGTGGCTGGTCAACCATCCCCACACGAGCCCAGCTGTACCACGGAGTGAAGCCACCAGTGAACGCCAGGGAGTGGGGGGTTAGCAGAACAGAGCAAGGTCACAGAAGAGGCCACGCAGACAGGGGCAGAGTTGCAAATGGGCAGCTACTTGCAAACCAAGTCGGAGATTCCTGGTGTGGGTTTGGAGAACTGGAGAGTGGGTGACGGTGCAGCAGGGAGGGTCAGAGGGAAGGGCATGTGTAGGGAGTTCTGGAAAAGGAGGGAGGGCATCCCAAGGACGTAACACATGGCTGGCTGGAGTGGGCTGTGAGGGGCTCCATCAGTCAGCAGTGGGCAGTGCTGGGCTCTGTCAGACAGCAGCAGCGGGCAGGAGGGAGTTTGGTCAGCCAGCAGGGACGTCCTGGCAGCTGAGGGCAGGGCTGGAGCTTGGGACTGCGCTGGATGCTGGGGCCTGGGATGAAGAATAAGACTGGCATCAGGTCCCCATCAGAAGAGCAGGAAATGAAAGACACCCAACCCAGGTATGGGGCCAGGGAGCCTTGGGCATGACCTATGAAGGTCAGGCTCCAGACCCTCCCTGTGACCTAGTGCACGTGGCACCATAACCCTGGATGACGTTGTCTTTTATTTGCAGAGACAAGGGGGGCAGTGGGGGGGGATGCTGGTCTACACCCAGCAGTGCCCAGGGCTGACTCCTGGATCTGCTCTCAGGAATTATTCCTGGCAGGCTCTGGGGATCACACCCAGGTTGGCAGCAGGCTAGGTAAGCATCCCGCTCGCTGTACTATGGCTCCGGTCCCCTTATGTCTTCTTTCTAATAACCCCCAAGAATCCCACATGGGGGGCTGGAGCAATAGCACAGTGGGTAGGGCATTTGCCTTGCACACGGCTGACCCAGGTTTGATTCCCAGCATCGCATATGGTCCCCCGAGCACCGCCAGGAGTAATTCCTGAGTGCATGAGCCAGGAGGAACCCCTGTGCGACGCTGGGTGTGACCCCCCAAAATAAAAAGAATCCCACATGGCCTGAATGCACTAAGGGACGTGGGCTCTAGATTAGGCCTAAGCAAATGTCACTTTTACAACCAGACTTGCTTGCTCGGACATGCTATAGCAACTGGCCTGTTCTGCTCAGCCCTTCAGAGACCATATGCAGAAAAAGCAGCCCTCTAAGACCGGAGGGGCTATATCCTGGTGTGTGCAGGGGACACAGAGAGCATCCGACTGTGAGTTCTTTTGTGGTGCTGGTTTACTGTTCTGTTCCATGTGTGTGTGGAAGGTGTGAAAAGAACGCATGTCACACCTGATGGTCAGCTATCAGTGGAAGGCTGGATGAAGAGGCGGGGCAGGGGGATGGAGGCTCACAGGTTACTGCAGGCAGAGTCTAGGCATACTCGTCAGCAGATGGAAGAAATTGTAAGAGGAAAAGCACAGTAGCCGGGGACCCAGGTGTGCGTGAAGGGGTTTGCGCTCTCAGAAATCAGATCACAGCCAGTATTGGCCTTTCTGAGCCTCGGCAAAGCTGAGAGCTCCCGGTCCCCTCTGTGGTGAGCAGCACCAGACCGTGAGTTTCAGCTCAATTTTTATCCAAAGGAGTTAAAAGTCACACATGCAAGAGGCATCGCTCTCCTGTGCACTTCCGCCCGGGTGTTTCAGGCTGATAAATGGCCCGAGACTTTTCTGGTAAGGCCTGCCAAGCTCCTTGAAGGAAGAGGCAGTGGGGGGCCCCACGAGGCATTCACTCAATTCCCAACCTACGAGAAGGGCAGCCAGCTCTGGGGGAGAGGCGTGCTGACCCCACCCGAGTATCCCAACAGCAAAAGCCAGGCTGAGAGCTCAGATCCGCTCAGAGGGCCTGAAGCAGGCCAGGCCCCTGAGGGGGACCAGAGGCCTCCTGAGCTGGGCTCAAGTCAGTGCCTGCAGCTGCCTGAGAGGCTCAGCTCAGCCTCCCTCTCCTCCTTCCCTATTTCCGCCCCCTCATACCCTGTCGCTCCACCCTCCTTACCCTCATCTCTTCTCTCCTTCCATCTCTTTCCTCCCTGATCCCCGCCCTTCCCTCCTCCCTTTCTGCCCTCTTCCCTCACTTCCAGTGAAACCCATCAACTCGCCTTTCCTACTCTTGGAGAACCAGAGGGTTTGCCCCCTCCCGAGGACCAGCCACACCCGTTCCCCCCCGCCCCCCCCCCCCCCCCCCCCGCAAGCAGAGGGCTGGGAGTTGGGTCATTTAGGCCAGTGTCTCGCCCTGCTCTCTCACGCCCTGCTGGGGCTGCCGTTCCGCAGGGTAGCACACAACTTCCCGACCGGGAGGGTGGAGCTGCTCGGGACCAAAGTGTTTCCAGAGAGAGAGAGAGAAGGAAAGACCCTCAAGTCCTGAAGATCTTGGGGTTCACAGGAAAGGCTTGACATGCCCTCCCCACATGCTCCCCAGTCCCCCTGCATGGGGGAGGTGCTCTGAGGAGGAGCTCAGGCTCCCTGGCTTGAGGCCTTCCATGACCTCGGAGACAGCCTCTGCCTATGAGTCCCATAACCCGTCTTCAAATTCGATTTGTCCCCAAGGAAGGTTCAACTGCTCTTCGTCCACTCCAGGATTCCCCCGCAATCTCTCCTTGGGTCAAATGGTCTGTCGGAAGCTGCACAGAGGACGCGTTGAGTTTGCTGGTGAGGTGGCACTACATGGCTGATCCAGTCATTTCTCTATTTGACCAGTGTCCGGAGGCATCTTTGCAGCTGGCAGCTGCAGTCGACGAGTAGTAGAGAAACCCCAAAGGCGGGACAGGCGTTGAGTCAGAAAGACACTTTGGTACATCTACACAATGCCATACTATGCAGCTGTCAGGAGAGATGAGGTCATGAACTTTGCTTATAAATGGATAGACATGGAGAGTATCATGCTAAGTGAAATGAGAGGGGCAGACATAGAAGGACTGCACTCATCTGTGGAGTATAAAACCATATAACATGAGGCTGACTCCTCAGGATAGTAGCTACATGGGACAGGAAGATTGCTCCATAGCTGGAAGCCTGCCTCATGAGCAAAGGGGAGAAGGCAGCTGGAATAGAGAAGGGATCACTAAGAAAATGATGGCTCGAGGAGCTGGTCGGAATGGGTGATGTGTGCAGAAAGTAAATAAAGTACCAAACATGATAACCTCTCAGTGTCTGTATTGCAAATCATAATGCCCAAAAGTAGAGAGAAAGTATGGGGAATATTGTCTCCCATAGAGACGGGGGAGGGGGGGTAAGGAGGGGTATACCAGGGATATTGGTGGTGGGGAATATACACTGGTGGAGGGATGGGTGTTTGATCATTGTGTGATTGTAACCCAAACATGAAAGCTTGTAACTATCTCATGGTGATTCAATAAAATTTTTTTAAAAAAGCCATTTCCAGCCACTGAATGTGAAGCATTCAAAGTGGAAGGTTCCCTTTTCGACACGCCTCCTGCAAAGCGAAATTCAGTGCATCCAAGTTGCAGCCTGGGCTCTGATAAATGCCGGGAGCATTGTTTATGAGAAATGCAGGCAAGGAAATCGATCGGGAACCTCATGTTCATGGGGCATTAGCCTGAGCAGGTCAGCACAGAGTGCCAGCGTGCCTGTGTGTCAGCGGGCCTGCTTTATCACCCAACTATCAATTATTCGGATCAATCTCACTGGGGGGGTGGGGGGATGACTGCCTTATCTGCCTTTTCTCTCTCCCACAAAATCAGTGGTGTATAAGGAGGCTCAGAGCACGCAGAAAACTTAGAGGTGCAGCAGGCAGTTCATTATAAGAGTATTTCTGTTTCCCGGATGTTGAGGTGTCTGTGGCATTTGTCAGATTTGAAAAACACAACTTTTAGGACTGGCAAAGAGCTCAGATGGTGGAGGGGACTCCAGGCACACAGGAAGCTTCAGTTCTATTGATCCCTGCTTCCATTCTTGCAACAGGAAGCCTGAGAAGCCCCCTGAGCACCATGGGCGTGGCCCAACAACAACAACAATAACAAATTTATGTTGTTGATTTTAGAAGAGTCACCATTGGAGTGTGACTGGGGCCTCCCAAGCAATGCTCTGGGAGTCCAGGTGCCATTCCCAGTGGCGTTCAGTCCATTGAGGCAAATGGTTCAAAGCTCAGACTGGGCAGTGCTCAGAGGCATCCAGGGATACAGCCAGTGATGCTGAGGGCACCATACCGTGCCAGGAGTAGCACCTTGGGGTTAGCCTTGCATGTCTTCCAGCCACAGAAACTCTCTTCTGGGCCCTGAGAATGTCACTTTCATGCCTGATTTCACATTTGCATTTTTGCATCAATTTTCTGAAGAAGAATCTTCCAGAATATGTAGATCATAGCCAGGGTCTGCCCTAGCAGCATTCTCAGTGGGCAGCTGAGCAAAAGAAGGTTATCAGGGTCTGGGGGAGCAGACACCAGCCTGAGTAGTGGCCAGGAGGCCAGCAACAGCTTTTGCAGAGTTCCCACGTGTGCAGCTGTGCGTGTCCTGTCCACTGTCCTGTGTCCCAGTCCCCAGCTCTCAGACCCTTGTTTTGCCCTATTAAGGTAATAGTGAGTAGCTGGGGGTGGGCAGAGTGGAGGCCCAACTGGTGTGGTCACCTTGAAGAAGCAGATCAGCTTGACTCCAACCTCTGTCCAGGCAGATTCATCACATTCGGTCCTGGAGCTGAGGGGGGGGTGGTTAGATTGTCCTGACCATCTGCCCAAGAGTCTTACACTCTGCTGTCTTCTCTCATAGAGTTGGTGTTGACCCGGATGAAGATCTGAAGGAAGAGCCCTCCCTGCAACAGGCAAGTCAGACATCACCAAGAGAGGGGGCGTTCTGGGTTGTGGAAGGCTCTGTGCTAAGAGGGTGCAGAATAGGGGCTGTTGTGTGCCATGAAGTAGTCAGAGCTAACCCAGAGAGTTTAGTACATGAGGCCATGGAACGTTCCATGCTGATAAAAAGAGGGGTCTCGGGTGAGTAAAGAAACATTGGGGAAGACACTTTTGGGGAGAAAAAAATAGTAGCTAAAAATCTGTGCTATTTGAGGATTGAATTAGGTAACCAGATCCAGGAAGAACAAAGTATTCCAAATAAAATATCCCCCAAAATAAAAATGTCAAGACACATCATAATTAAAATGGCAAGAACCAAAGGGATACTGTCATAAGAGTAGCAAGAGCTAAGTCAAGAATTACCTCTAAGGGGGTCCCCATAAAAATCACGGAAAATATTTCAAAGAAAACCCTGAAGGTTGAAAGGAAATGGTACAGTGTACTGAAAATAGTGAATGGAATGGGCATCCGAGCAATAGCAATTCATCCAGCTAGGTTATCGTTTAAACATGGCCGCTCTGTGCCTGGAAATACTCTAAGCCAATACAGAGAAAGAGCATGGAACATAGCCTGTGGTGTTCTGTGTCACAGAATATTCCACGATGAAGCAGAGTCAAAAGCAAAGGGTTCTGGGTCAGAGAGTGTTGGACAGATAATGCAGAATACAGATCAACATGAAAAGTTGTGGGTCATGAAATGTTCAAGGATTATTCAGAGAGTATAGAACACGGGATGTTTTGCATCATAAAATGTAAAATACAGAGAGTATATATAGCCCACAGGGATTTCTAGACCATGGAATGTTCCAAACAAATACAGGAAATCTGAGGCATGGAGAATTTGGGGCCAGAGAATGTTGTAGGCTAATGTATAAATTCTGGAACATAGGGTGCTCTTTCTCCTGAAAAGCTCCATGCTGGTCCAGAAAGTACAGAGCATGGGGTATTCTGTGTCTTGAAATGGTCTGTGTTAATGCAGGGCCAAGAGCACAGAATGTTCTGTACCACGAAATGTTCTGTGTTTATGCAGAGTATAGAATATGAACGGTTCTATATGGAAGGTTCTGTGTTAATGCAGAGTATAGAATATATACCATGGGAAGTTCTGTATTGATGCAGAATATAGGGCACCGGATGTTCTATGCCTGTCCAGCATCGCAGTATCAACTCATTGAAATGAGCCTACTCCCATCAATCACATAAATCAGATGTGTATAATAACCTCCGGAGACCTGAGATTTAGCACAAGTGGTTAACACAGTCCTTAATGTGTGAGGTCCCAGGTTTGATTCTACAGACCTGTGGCCCCAAAATACCACTGTATGTGCCCCACCCCCCCAAAAAATACTTAAGAATTCGGTGGCAACAATCTTGGCATAACCATTAGAGAGATCTTGAGGGCTTGGAGCCAATAGACACTGTGCGAAGGCTGGACACCGCAGGGCAGGAGAAAGGCTCACATCTTGGAACCTGACAGACAAATCCCTGCCCAGGAACTTGCTGAAGAGGCCACCTCAGGGACATTCACCCACTGGGAGTCCTCACTGGAAAAATATGCCATGGTGGCCACCCAACAAACGGACATGTTTCTGTTTCCCCTGCTTGGATTCTCCTTAATCAGTTTGGGGTGGACAGAAATACCGAAAACTCAAATATTTGCTCAAGCACAACAAACCAGGGCAGATGAACCCTTCCTGACTTAGCCAAGCAACATTCTTGACAGATCTGAGTGTCCCAAAGGAAAACTGAGGGGCTCTGGGGCTGGAGCGATAACACAGCGAGTAGATTATTTGCCTTGCACAAGGCCAACCCAGGTTCGATTCCCAGCATCCCCCCATATGGTCCTCCAAGCACCGCCAGGAGTAATTCCTGAGTGCAGAGCCAGGAGTAACCCCTGTGCAACCCCAGAATTACTCCTGACCCAAGAAGAAAAAAAAACCTGGGGGGGACCATGTGCTGTTCCCTCAACCACAGGACATATGCGCTCTAAACTCTGCTCCTAGCCTGACACCAGAGGTGACTCTGGCATTGCTTAACTCAGTGATGGGAGCTCTTAACTCAGTGCTGGGAGCTCAGTGCTGCTATTGGGCCAGCTCACACAGAAGCGTGACATTGTAAAGAAGTCAGGTGTCTTGGTGAACTGAATAACGGTCACATCTGGGTTTGAAGAGGCTTCATCTCTTTGATTTCATGGGGTGTTTTTGTTTTTTCTTTGTTTGTTTGTTTGTTTGTAGAACGCTATTGAACAACCATAGCTTATCATACTGCTGGGAGAGATGCAGACTTTCTGGTTTAGAGACACCAAAAGAGAAGGAGCTGAGCTATACCCATAGGGTTGGGAAATGAAGTTGCTGATGGTGCTGGCTCACAGCAACTTGGAATGATTTTGCCATCCGTGTTCCAAAGTCAGGCTGGAGCTCTTTCCGCAGACCCCATGGTTCTGGGAGCCACTGGGAGCTGAGGGCTGTGGACAGCAGGTGCTGGTCCTCGGCCTGGGGCCAGTTAGTGGCCTTGGAGACAGATCAAATCCCAGATTGCTGTCCTGGCCAGTCATAATGAGTAGATAGTGAATTCTGCATGCAGCTGATTTTTTTAAAAAGCCAATGCCATCTAGGTCAACTAAACCACTCTTCTGCCTTCAAGCAAAACTTCGATCTCAATTTTCTTCTCCTGTAATATCCTTCCCTTTAAAATAGAATAAATTCATCAAAGAAAATCCCTTCATCTTCTTCTGACTTGACAATAACATACAATTATGAGTAAGATCACCCTTTAGCCTAACTCCTTTATACAGTAGAAGTTTAGTTTACTCTAGTTCATTTTCACCACTGTTAACTCAGTTCTGAATTTGACAGAAGACACTTATACTAGTCGAAAGCAGTTTTCTTGAGCTTCTGAGAGACAGGAGCACTTACTACATTAAAGCAAAGTGATGAAACCAAATTGATAACCCCTAGTTGGAGTTAAAGCATTTGCTCTGCAGACATCTGACCTCATCTGACCCCTGGAGCTGCAAGTGATCCCCTGAGCACCTTCAGGAGTGATCACTGAGCACCAACCCAGGTGAAGCTCTGAGCTCAAAGATCAACAACCCCCCCACACACACCAAAAATGTGTGTGTGTGTGTGTGTGTTAAACTTGTCCTATCTAATGAAGGATTTGAGGTACTTTCCCAAATAATAAAATAAGAGTAAAATATTTTAAGGTGTCTAAAATTTAATTTAAAAAATAATGAGCATAAAGTAAAATCAAATAACTTAAAAGAATCATGAATAAGTTAGGGGCCCAGCGGGGAGGGCGCTTACCTTGCACACAGCCGACCCAGGTTCAATTTCCAGCATCCCATGTGGTCCCCTGGACCCCACCAGGAGAGATTTCTGAGTTCAAAGATAGGAATAACCCCTGAGCACTTCTGGTGCCCCCACTACACACACACACACACACACACACACACACACAAACACACACACACACACAATCATCATGAATAAGCAGATAATAAGGTCTGAGTTTGCTGTGGCCAGCTCACAAGAGAGTTTCCTGGTAGGAGAGCACGGGGATTCTACCAGTTCACTGTCATTAGAGGCAAAGCCAGACTCTCCCTTCAAGCAGAACAAAACCTCACAGGATGCTATATTTTAGAATAGATTTCTAATGTAGGGCTGCCTGTGGAGACACATAGTTATCTAACCGTTAACTAACCTCATTATAATTTACACAGTTCCCAGGGAACTGCTGAGGCTTAGAAGTCATTTTATTGTTTGGAAACATTCTGATTCATGATGAAGTTGGACTGCCACGGAAGCACCATTTCAGAAAGTGCCTCTCCACTGGGGAGAGCTTCTTATCTTCAGAGCAGGTCCAGCATAGCAAAACACACCCAGGCAGGATGTAGCAAACCACAGTGACTGTGCGGCTGCCCCTTGACCTGGCCAATTTTTTTGGTGCTTTCCAGAACAGGGCACAAGAACTCCTTTGTCCTCATTTTCCCTGACACCTCTTTGCTTATTATCAGCATTACTGGCACACCAGACTGCAGACCATAAACCTTAAATCTTTGGAGGATTGCAGGTTGCTCAACTGGGGTTGCATGAACAAACAGAATCATCTTTGCATTGGTCAACCAGGAGTTAAAGGAAAAGACTTAATTCTTACTTTACCAAAAGCTGAATACAGCATGATGGCAATTAATGACCATAGCCCTCTAAAGAAATAATAAACATAAGTAATGGTGATGCATATTGTTAAAATGGCCGGTGCATAGTTCCTCCTTCTCTGTAACCTTGGGGAAGTATAAATACTGAAGGTAGCTGTGATTAACCAGATTTGATTTTCCTTTGCATCTTGTAACACCCTTAGGGTGTGAATGGTTTTACACTCTTACTCTTGCACCCAGAGGTTTTGCAAAGCAGGTCCCCTTTTGCATGGTGACAGCCATTGCAGCAGTGCATTTGGCAGGTCTTAAATGTACCCAAACCAAACTCCCCTTGGAACCTGGTCCCTGTCCTTGGAAGCAGAGCATCGCCAAGGTGAGAACTGCTGAAGCAGCCACAGTCACCATCATCTTCTCCTTGATAAAAATCCCTGATGCCCCCAGGAGGACCGTCAGGCTTGCTTCTATTTTCCTTTGTGGCCATTGTCAAGATCATCCCAATATTTGCACAGCACTTATTACAATATTTGCTACCTATGATCGTGGGCTCTTAACAGTGTCCTATGCACCTTATCTGCAGTAACTTAATTTCCCAAAGTGTCCCAAAAGAGAGTCCTGTTATTATCCCTCTCTTACAAATAAAGAACCTGTACACAGAGAAGCCCAACAACTTGCCAAGGACACAGAGTGGGTGGAAGTAGAACTTGAACACAGGCAACTTTGATTCCAGAACTTACACTCTTCACTGACACTCGTGTGTTCATCCATCATCCATCTTTCCATTCCTTCAACAAATATTTTTTTTTGACCCTCACTCAT